GCCCCCCCCCCCCCCCCCCCCACACACACGACTTCTTTCAATCCTTCATTAATCTTGTAGTTAGCTGGTCTAAAATTCTAAAATTTAATCCGAGACGAGAATTGAAAAGTTCTTGTTAAACAGTGTCAGTCACGATATGAATACAGGGTGTCCCAGAATAAATCTTAGAAAAAATAATCTTTGCAGTGTTACGTGTGCATGTTATTGTACGACAAAAGGCACAAGAACTACGTTTAAAGTTAAAAATTGTTTTAAAAACATGACGGACACTGGAAACTCCGGTTAATTTCAAGTACCGGGCCGACTTTCAGACTGCTAGAGCATGCAGTACAGTACACGTACAGACAGTATAAGTCAAAACAAGACGGTACTTTACATATTATATAAAAACAGATCTTTGTTTTTAGGGTCATTTTAAATTACAATCCTTATAACATTATAATTATAACATTTAATTGTGATTGTGTGTTTTAAAATAAAAGATGTCTGATATGAATTATTTTAACATTTCTTTTGGAACACCATATATTTCAAAGGGTTTACGTCAAGATTAGAAAGCGATATCGACAGCAGTAAAAATAAACATGAAAAAGGCAATCACCTCTCCCCCCCCCCTTAGCCTGAGGCCTGCGCAATCAGTGCTTTGAATAGAGTGTCGTTTTAACGGTCTGACAACCAACATTTTATGATATTTTTCAACTTGTATAGAAACCTTCTTAACAATAGATTTTGAGGCATATTTAAAAATATTTAAAAATATGCAGAGGAATTTTTGACCGGGAGCTCAATGCAAACTCATTTTAAAGTCACAAATTGTATGCATGCAAAATGTTTAATGCTTGCAAAAATATCTATGATTATACCTACTTAAGACTTTTTAAGTCTGTAAAATTTGAAAAGTACTTATTAACCGCGCACTCCAACACATCTTACTGTTTATGTTAAAAAAATAAAAAGGAATTTATAAGATTTAAATTGACGGCTATGTTTTTCTTTTTTATATAATTTTTATCGTTACTATTTCACAGCATAGCACTGATGAAAGAAATTCGAACGTTGATTCCACTATGAACTTAAGAACGTTAATTCCACTATGAACTAGAGAACGTTAATTCCACTATGAACCAAAGAACGTTAATTCCACTATGAGCCAAAGAACGTTAATTCCACTATGAACTAGAGAACGTTAATTCCACTACGAACTGAAGAACGTTAATTCCACTATGAACTAAAGAACGTTAATTCCAATATGAACTAAAGAACGTTAATTCCACTATGAACTGAAGAACGTTAATTCCACTATGAACTAGAGAACGTTAGTTCCAATATGAACTAAAGAACGTTAATTCCACTATGAACTGAAGAACGTTAATTCCAGTATGAACCAAAGAACGTTAATTCCACTATGAACTAAAGAACGTTAATTCCACTATGAACTAAAGAACGTTAATTCCAATATGAACTAGAGAACGTTAATTCCACTATGAGCTAAAGTACGTTAATTCCACTATGAACTAAAGAACGTTAATTCCACTATGAACTAGAGAACGTTAATTCCACTATAAACTAGAGAAAAGGTCTTAATGCGACATTTACGCTACGACTTTGTGAGCTCTTTGCTCCTCTACCTTTGATCGTATGCACACGCGTATGAGAAAGCTCTGATTTTCTAATCCCTATATCTTTGCAACCCAATGTGATAAACCTTAGATATTTCAAACTATGAATTCTGTTAGATCAGATAATCTAAGTTTGAAATATCAAAGCTTTACACAACCAGTTTACAAAGATAAAGGGATTGGAACATTTTAGTTTGTGGCTAAAAATCAAATCCCTTTTCTAGTTATATATTAGATATATTATTATATTCGCGGAGCTTTCTCAATGTGAACTCCTAATCCTTACCGGTTGTAGTATTTGACCTCCTAATCCTTACCTATTGCAGTATTTGACCTCATAATCCTATCTATTGTAGTATTTGACCTCCTAATCCTTACCGGTTGTAGTATTTGACCTCCTAATCCTTACCTATTGTAGTATTTGACCTCCACTGAATGCCATTGACCGTCGGAGATACCTCCCGGAGGATGTACACTTACGGAACTGGTCTCCTCCCCGGTAGAAAACCTAAACAATGCAGTACACTGAAACATTGCAAAAAAGTGTGAAAATATTGAAAATTCGAAGAAAAAAAAATCATGACTAATTTAAATAATGACGACAATTGTCTCTCTCAACCTTGATCTTTTTATATTATCATCAACATTAACATTTGAAACGGTAATTAATTAATTTTACAATAAGCAAAATGTGGCAATTGTTTATTTTTGTACAGAGGTACCAAAATTATGAGACTCCAGAGATATTGATAAAAATCTATAGCTTTAACAGTAATAAAATTATTATTATCATTACTATCATTACTATTATTACATTTTTTACGAACATTGAAACAATATTTTAAAATGTCCATAATTTACGTATGCTAACAATGTATTTCTGAAACTTTTGACTGAAAAAAAGTCGACAAAACCGAACTTCTTATTTTTAGTTGAAAATATAGATTACAGGAGCTCAACTAACTCAATTTATAAAACTTTAAATCAAATTAAGTCCAGGACCGACTTTTAGCCAGGTAACGAAAGCTGTACACTGTACAGTACACAAGTAAGGCAACCGGAACAGTACCCTAAATGAATGTTCCCATTCTAGTAAATTTATGCGAACAAACGAAAATTTTAAGATAAACTTCTTTTTGAACTGAGTTTAACTCTATGGCATTCAAAAGTTGCCAGCTCAGGTTAACCATGTGATCAATGCACCATTGAAAGTATCCGTGACGACCAGCTATGAAAGTTTTACGAATAATTTGAACCCCCCAACCCCTCTCCCCCCTAGCTAAACATCAATATTAGGAAAAGAGTGGGGGGGGGGGGTGTTAAACAATTATATTTTTATTAGGATTTAAAGAAACAGATAAACTTTTATTTTGTTCTGTTAAAAAAATGATATTCTAATCATTTTTGTTTACATTGACTAAAAATCATAAAATATTAACAATGTTGTTTTTCAATCTTCCTTGCCAAGAGTTTAATGGTTCAAAGAATTGGTTAGTGTTGAATTACCATGGAAAAACTGAAACCAATGCCAGAAAATTTAGCTTCACAATTAGAGGCGTTTGAAAGCGAAACCGTTCAGTTGATATTTTGTCCCGTTAGCTTGCATTTAAGTAATTGTAAACTTAAAGGGATTGTGTTCTCAATTTCTAGTGAACCTCCTAACAAAAGCGGCAATGCCCGATTTACAATGGTACCCTTTAAAGCTTTGTATGAATTAGATATCAATGTTCTGAGTCGAAAAATGTTTAATTTCGAAAACGAAAATAAACAGTTTAAAGAATCATAACCATTGATATCTAATTAATACTTGATCAGACAAAGCTTTTAAGGGTACCGTTGTAAATCGGGCATTGCCATCTTTGCTAGGAGAGTTTAAATTAAAAACTGTGAAAGTTAGTCATCAATCTTTTAGACAGCCTTTTAAGTGTCGCAACACCTTGGCCTTTGTTTTTACCTTACCAACATTATTAAGCTTTTTGTAGCCATATGTAGGCATATACATTTTAAAAATTCAACACGTTTTATTCTTTAGCTTAATTTTAAAATGATAATGTTGTAGCTGTAAAACTTCATTAATAATTAAATTAATTAAATTATTATGAATTTTTTCATTAAAATGTTTATTTTATACCTGAATACTAATCCTTCGTCTTGTACACTAAGTGACATGTAATCATGCTTCCCGTTGTACCGTCCGTTGTACATGAGTAATCCTGGAAATAAGTATGTACATTGTACAATATATTTACACATTACATAACATTAGGATTGATAGTATAGACAATATATAGATTATCTAATTTCTTCTGGTGGTAAAATTAATCCTATTTAAAAAGGTTAACAAAACTAGATATCAAAACCGAAACCACAGGAAATAAGTTTTTGCCATAAACTCTATAACGTAAACAACCTATGAGTTCTGTTTGATCAAATAGTCTAAGTTTAAATTATCCAAGGTATGCACCAGGCTGTAAAGATCAAGAGATAACAAAATTTGAGATTGTGGCAAAAAAACACAGTTTCTCACCTAACAGACCAAAAACTCGTTAATTTCTTAAATGCACGTTTTTTTAAATCGTTAATAATGCGAGGGTGAAAAGTAACCCTGAAGGAATAAATATTGTAGCATATGTTAATATTATGCAGATTGAATATATATCAAGGCATAATGTTGATACAGTTTAATACGAATTGATATTAACTGATCACGATCAAAAATAACATCTGTATTAATCTCTGCCGCTACCTTTGCCAACCCTAATCGTTAAATTGTAAAACAATACAAACTGAAAAAAACGATGTGAGTATCTTTTTACGGACCCAACATAAGTTAGATTCATTTTCTCATCTATTAAGTCTCTCTCAAGTGACCCTATATTTCAAGAGGGTCATCGTAAGTCTTTCCAGTTCAAAAAGAATTTGATTCTTACATTTTTCTCAATATTTCTGTAGCAAGAAATCCGCAATACCCATTTTTTCAAAGATATCTATTTCATTCTTTTTCAGAGAAATCGTTCAAGTGTGAATCAGACGGGGGGTAAAAATACGTTTGGATGAAACCAATAGGAGATGTTAAGCTGTTGCACTTAAGGGGGTTTTACTGCTAAAGTTTCAACATGTAACTAATTCAAATTAAATTTAATAAAAAGCACAAGCCGTTTTCGACTACCTAAAAATTACTATAAATTTTCAAAAAAGATTTTTGTGAATGTTATATTTTACCTGTGTGTTCTATTGTTGCAAAATCCAGTTTTATATTGAACTTGAACCTCTGTTTGAGCGAGGGAAGGGAAAGAAAAGCCCCATTGCTGAAGCTCCGCGCCTCCAGTTGACAGAACTGATTGTAGAACGGGCTCTGGGTGCAATTCTCACAGATAAACCCGCCCTTGATTAAGGGTGCACAGGAGGAGGGTGGAGCACAAACATCTGGAACACAACCCCCCTGGAGTAGACTTATCTCACAGTTCTCTCCAGTATAGTTCTCCTGGCAGGAGCACGTGTATCCCCCCTCCTTGGATATACAGGTCCCGGAGTTATGGCAGGGGTTGGAATAGCACATGTTCACTTCGATATCACAAGTGTAATGATTCTTCTCACCAGTGAAACCTTCAGGGCACTCACAAGAGTAGGTCTTGACAGCATGAATAGATCTGAATAGAATACTCTCACCTTCTATAAAATGCTTAGCAGAGCCAAACATAAGTCGGGTTTCACATGTCTCATAGTTCAGACATGGCTCTCGAATACAAATGTTATCATCAAATGGAAGGATTTTGATGGTGGAAAGTCGGACAAGTGTTTCTAGGTTTAAATAGATCTTGTGTTGAATGTATTCAGGATCTAGGTACTGTTCTTCAAGGGAACCAGGAACCCCAACGGAAAATGTTACATTCAGAATGTCTCCTTGCACCTCTGTATCAGATTTAATGCTGAATACATGGATATTTTCCTGTGGTGCAGGGATCACTGCTGAGAGAGCATCGACAAAAAATGAGAAGAGCGGAGACAAAAAGGCGTCCTGAGTCATGTTGTTCAATCGGAGAGTGACCGAGTGATGCATCATTTCCTTTGTAACCAGAAGTACATCTAGGCTTACAACGGATCGAACCTCGTTTTTCCCATCAAAGACAGACACTCCCATTTTGGCATGAATAGGAACGTTAGTATTGAGTTTCGGGGACAGAGTGATTTCTCCTGTGTTTGGGTTTAAGATAAGAAGGTTGGCATTGTTCCCGTATGTAATATTATAGTACAGCATGTCTAGAGCATCTGCGTCAAATGCTGGGATTTTACCAATCGGCGTTGTGGGGAAATTATTCTCATAATTGTTGAAGACAATACTGAAGTCGTTTAACTGTGGCGAATTATCATTCTCATCCTTAACTCTGACCAGGAGAGGAATGTCTGTGCGCAGTGGGGGGGATTCAGCTCGCAGCAGGAGATCATACTCAGTCTGATCAGACTCGTGGTCAAACTCTGTATCTGAGATAAGGCGGGCAATGGGTTTTCCCACCTCCGTATCCAGATGAAATAAATGTGCATCCCGTCCTCCAATAATTGAGTAGGTTACAACTGCATTTTCTCCCTCATCAGGATCTATAGCTTCTATCTCAGCAACCAGACTTCCAACTGGAGAATTCTCTTTGATAAAGTATTCCAACTGTTCATCCTCAAACTTGGGTGGGTTGTCATTGATATCCAAAACATTGACCAAGATAGGAACAGTAGAGGAGAGCTGGGGCGTGCCTCTGTCAACCGCCAGTGCCACAAGTTCATAATATGGGACTGTTTCACGGTCTAATGGTCGGTTTGTTCTCACAATCCCAGAATAAACGTCAACCACGAATGCTCCGTCACCGTTATTACCCCCATCAAATGTGTACATGATTCTACCATTCAAGTTCTGGTCTCTATCATTAGCAAGGATCTCTAGGATAGAGGTGCCGGGTATGGCATCTTCAGATACTGCTCCATGATAGGCAGGTTGGGTAAATGAGGGTTTGTTATCATTCACATCTACAATAACAATCTCCACATCCGTTGTATCCGACATTTTAGGGATTCCATTGTCATGTGCAGTTACTGTCAGAACATATACTTCTTTCTCCTCTCTATCCAGAGCACGGTTTATAATGATGGATCCTGAGTTGGGATCTATTTTAAAGTCTCCACTCTCCTGGTTTGAAATATCATAGGTTATTCTAGCATTCTCTCCAACATCCTTATCTGCCGCCATAACTACCAGAACTGTTGTTCCAACAGGTGCATCCTCAAACACACTCACAGAGTATGGAGCATTCTCAAAGGATGGTGGATGAGTGTTAGCATCACTAATGTTGATGTATACAGTGGCCGTGTCAAATCTGCCCCCGGAGTCAGTAGCACTAACCGTGAGCAGAAATCTTTTCTCCTGCTGGTAGTCCAGCGGTTGAGCAATAGATATCACACCCTGGGCATTCTGGGTTGAGATGCTGAATCGGTTTCGCGTATTTCCTCCTGTAATTTCATAGTGAACTCGTGCATTCTCATCCTTATCCAGAGCAAGAAGGCTTAATACTGAAGTTCCAGGAGGGTCAGTTTCAGATGCAACTGCTTCATAAATCTTCTTCTGAAAAGTTGGATCATTGTCATTTCTGTCCTGAACTTGTATAATTATAGTAGCTTTCTCAGCTCTTCTTGGAGCTCCATTATCTAAAGCTTCAACTCCAAACTGATAACTAGACTGTCCTTCCCGGTCCAATAACTCAGTACTAGTCAACCATCCAGTACGCTCATCAATAGCAAATGGAACAGCATCCGTAGCATCAACTATAGAGTAGGTTATCCTTGAATTCTCTCCTTCATCCCCGTCATATGCCTGGATCCTAACTACTGAATATCCAATAGGAACATTCTCTGGAACTGCTTCCTGGAAGTACCCGGAGTAGAACTTGGGAGAATGATCATTTACATCCACAACTTTAATCACAACCTGGACAAAAACAGTGTTAAATTTTAAATTATCAAATAAAATAAAATTTAATTTATAACATGAAATGGCAGACCACATCTTGGAATTCTCAAAACTAGAAGTTTAATATTTACTGCTATTAAGTTTCTTAGATAACTGCGCTTGGAAAGAAAACAATTCAATTTTATGTGTCAAATAATTCTCATGTTTATTTGGACATTCTAAAGTAACATATTTCTTGTAAAAGTATTAAAATCAAGAGGTATAAAATTTATCACAATTAGATACTGAATTCATCAAAACTGTATCCACAGCGTGAATAAGAAGTTCTGAAATAGAAACATTTTCTCTCCCAATGCATGTCACGGGAGAATAGGCTTAAAAATAAGAAATTTCCCGTTATTTAGTTGCAAAACTGCAATTCTGCACGCAATTGCAGTTCTAGCTTTAAATGTGGACAAGGTACAACTAGATACAAGAAACAACCAGGGGGGAAGGGGGGCTCAAACTTTTTGACATT